ATGCAGTGCACATATTTTATCTTGAATCATGCAAGTTTTGTTCAAACTGGACTACTATTGGATATCTGTCTGTGCATGATATCTAATGGAGGTGATTATCTGTGGCTGTTGTGGAATAGATGATCAATCATCATACATGTATCTTTCTTGCATCAATTTCACCCCGAGAAGGCATTTAAACCTGTATCAGGCCCAGATGAGAGCCGCTTTCGAGGTTAGTATTTTTTTTATATTATTTTGAACTTTCAACACAAATGTCAATTTACATTTTTGGTTATCATAAATTTCTGATGTTGCCATCTTGTCATTCTATCATGTTACTATATCAGTGGTAAAGACATTTCAACCTTCAGGTTGATCTAAGTTTACTTTTTGGTCGGTTAGATTAGGTATTCAACAAGTCTTTCAAGCAAACTGAATGTTTATGTCTGATTTCACTTTTCATGCAAACAACTGATGAAGGTTCCAGTCAAAGTGAATCATCAGATAACACTTTATATGTTTTGGATGAGTTACGAGGCCAAAAAAGTCATGAAAAAGGAAATGCCTCTCAAACCTCAACAATGCAAAGTATGTATATCCTCTTGTTATCACATTCATCCAATTTTGTGTGGTATTCATTCTGGATTATATGTTAGATGACTCTGTTAGTTAATGAGTTCTGTTTATCTTCATAAGTTAATGTCCTGGAAAGTAATTTAAGAATAGAGAGACACTGGAAAAGTTGTGAGGGAGTTTACCTTCCATCTCTACCCTCTCAGGTTCATCAGACAAAGAGGATGAAACTGAAGAAGACGATGAGGATGAGGAGGATGACATTGATGAAGAAGAACTCATCAAACAAATGCTTGCTAAAGAAGAGCTAAAACTGTCTCAGCAGAACAACAGTGAAGATGAAGATGAAGATGCAGCAGACCATGCAGATCATGAGGATGATGACAAACACAAGGAAGCTTCTTCTGTTGTGTCTGATTCAGACAATTTTTCAGAATGTAGTACCTCATCAAGCAATTTGATAAGAAGCTCAGTGGTCAATGTGCCAGCATCAACAGCCACTGAAACATCCGCTACAACAACTAGTAACAAAGCACCATCAACAGAAGCTAGCAGCTATCCTGTGTCATCCAATGGACGTTGCCCTTACTGTGACTCTTCAGATGTTAAATACATCATCATGGTGTCAGAAAACACCAAAGATACTGATCTACCTCAAAGTCTTCAACAGTTGCTCAAAAGAAATCAGGCTTTTAAAATGGCTAAAGGTGAGGTAAAATGGGTGAGCACAGATAGTAAGGAATGGAAAATTTACTTTTTATTGCTCTATAATCAGTGTTCTCCTTTTCAGGTGGTAGCCAGTAAGAAGTACCACCAGTAGTACCTCTTATTGCTGCATAAATGGCTTCAAATTCTTGAAAATTCAACGGGTAGAGGAATAGCTCTACCAGTTTGAAAATAACACTGCAGAATCAAATGGTGTGAAATTGAAATAAAATTTATTTCCTTCCAAGAAAGGATAACAAATTATTATTTGTGTTGTTTTAAAGCTATTTAAAGTACATGTCCTTAAAGTGTTACTCTCTGTCAGTCTTCATCATGTCACAGTTTATAACCACGCAAGAGGGATGGCACATGAAAGAGTCCTGAAGTAGTTCAGAAAGAATTATAGATTTTTAATTCTGGGAAGAGGGACTTCCCCACTTACATATAATCTATTGTTGAATTGATTATTTGGAGTTATCATCTATTTTTTCACTACATCATGAAACAAAGTTTCGTGAAAGAAGACCCAGACAAAAGTCACAGGCAGGGTAAGCCAGTTTGCAATGATGGCTGGAGTTGGAAAAACAATGGGATAGTTTTAAGAGGATACAATTTTACTTGACACTATAAACAAAGCTATTTCATGAAAAACAATTTTCCAAAATGTCCTCTAACTCTGGTACATTTCAAAACATATGTCAGATTTTCCAATAATTGAACTTGAATTAACACTATTTCAAGAGTTGACCCCCTACCATTGTATTTATATTAAGCCCAAGACCAGACATTGCCACCAACACCCACAATTAAGATTACTGTGAATGCTCTCTTTACCCTATCCCCTCCCCCACATAAGTATCCAGAGCCTCCAAGGAGAGAAGTGGTCTGACAGAACACTCAGTAAAAAAATTACATATCACTTGCTTTTCCTATGACTTGTGATATTCACTTATGGGGGCCCTGAATCACAATTGTCACTTGTTTTACAGTACCACCCAGCCCTAGGAGGATGGCTACATAAATTTTTAAATAAAATTCATAAATTGTGTATGCTTTTTTGCATCCTGAAATTGTGCAGTTTCCAAAGTTCTGATTTTGGAATGATCCTGTCAGACTCTAATTTCTGACATTTCAACTATACATACAGCCTTTGTTTTGTAATGGACTCTGTTAATAAAAGCTAACCATACAATGTATCTCTAAATGACATCTACTTGTCAGGCTACATGGGGGCTTCAAAGCTCATGTTGGGTTTGGTAGAAAATCTTTCCTAATCTTAAAGGACAAATGGTCGAGGCAAATTCACCCAACTATAAAGCTAAACAAAAGCAGGTACATCCTTTGTTAGTTGATATTTCTCCAGCTCCTTGTTCATTTAATTTTGATGAACAAACTGGGAGTCTACTTGCTTGGTAGTCTTTTGCTGGGGTATCAGGAGTGAAGCAAATTAATTAAAAGATTGACTTCAAAACAAAAAAGGAATGCCTTCATCATCCAAAGATCCTGAATGATGATGCATTTGGGCCAACAGGTTGATGAAGTAATAGCTGAATAATACTTGACTGGATTGCTTGAAATGAACTGGAGATGAATTATTGTTTTATTTCTGTGATATTTTGTACCTTTATCGAGTCTTATATCCACGCTTTTTTCCACTTTGTTTTGATGAAGTTGATGCTGAATTTGATTTGGGACGAAGTTATACCCATAAACTAACTTGTTCATATGATCTCCTGCATGACATAAATTAGGTGAAAGTGAACCACCATCTTTTCAGTGCCAGAAATGTCAGTATGGCTTCAACCTGAACTGGTCCACTGCAAACCTTGAACTCATCTTTGGACTGCCACCTACCACATCTTCATCCGCCACAGCCACGACAGCTAAATCTACCTCAAACAAATCCACCAAACAAAGTGCTGTACCCTTCAAACAACCTCCTAGATACCCATCCTACCCTCCTCCCATGGGGCTTCCTCCAACAAGGTACCCACCACCTATTGGGATTCCTCCACCAGTTCCTTACCATGGGTGAGTGAAAGATGATTCTTATCAACTTTTCGATCTGTGATGTTTTTTAAATGCAGATCTTCTTTTTGACTTTGGTGTTCTTTTTTCCTTCTCAGCTACACACCAGCATATCCCAGTTATTATGGATCGTACTATCCCCCACCTTCCATTCCGCCACCACCAGTTGGAACCTATACTTTCTCCCCACCTGCTGCACCACAGTCAACAATCCCCCCTCCTGGTATTTCTCCCCTTGGGATATTTCCACCCGGTGTCCCACCCCCAGGGGTACTGCCTCCTGGAATTCTTCCCCCTGGGATACCACTTCCAAGTTTACCACTCCCTGGGGTGCTTCGTGCTATTCCACCCCCTGGAGTTCCCCCTCCAGGTTATCCCACACCAGCCATTACTCCAGTCCCCTCTGCAGGTGCATGGGGAAATTACCCTTACCATACTCCCTCCCGTTACCCACCTCCCCCATCTTCAAGGTATGGTCCAATTCCTGCGGC